AGACAGACAGACAGACAGACAGACAGAGACAAAGAGAGACTTGGTTATTCATTCAAGCTTGAAGGTCCTAAACTCTGAGGCCGAGCCTGCTCAGCTAGCCTGGATAGCCAGGGGCAATTGGGATGAGTTCCTAAAGTGGGAAGGACACAGTATTCAGAAGTTTAGGAAAGATGCAGAAACACAGAGGCAGTAGAAAGAAACAAAAACACTCCTGATCAGAGGAAGGGGTCAGAAGGCTTCCTGGAGGAGGGGACCTGGAGCTTCTTAAAGAAGGGTGTTTAGTTCAGTGAGGTGGCTCACACCTGGCATCCCAGCACTCTGGCAGGCTGAGGCAGGAGGACTTCAAGTTTGAGCCCAGCCTAGGCAGCTAGGTGACTTAGTGAGATCCTGTCTCAAAGATAGATAGATAGATAGATAGATAGATAGATAGATAGATAGATAATGGATGGATGGATAGATGGATGGATAGATGGACAATGAATGGGTGAATAGGTGTATTAGATGGATAGATGGATAATGGACTGATGGATGGATAGATGATAGATGGATAATGGATGTATGGATAGAGGATTAGTTGGACAAATGGATAATAGATGGATGGATAGATGGATAATGGATGGCTAGATGGCTAGATGGATAATGGATTCATGGATGGATAGAAGGATAATGAATGGATGGATGGATGGATGGATGGATAGCTGGATAGATCAATAATGGATGGATAGATGGATAATGGATGGATAGATAGATGGCTAGATGGGTAATGGATACATGGATGGAAAGATGGATAATGGGTGGATGGATGGATAGCTGGGTAGCTGGATAATGGATGAATGTATAGATAGTTGTAGGCCTGCGAGACAGGGGAAAGGAGGGTTGGGGAAATGTGTAGGTCAAAGGCAGAGGAATAATGGATGATGGGTGGATGGATGGATGGATAATGGATGGATGGATAGATGAATTAGATGGATAGATGGGTAGTGGATGGATGGATGGATGGATAATGGATAGATAATGCCCCAGTAGTGGCAGATGAGGGCTTCAGAGACCTCTGGATCTAGCTTTCCCCATCAGCACCAGGAATCCAACTGCCTTATCCTCAGGCTTGGATTCCCTTCAGTTGTCTTGACTCCCTGGCGAGTTCTGTCCCTACCGGTGACATGGTGGCCCACACTTGCCATCCCCCTACACACTCTGGAGGCTGAGGCAGGAGAATCCCAAGTTCAAAGCCAGCCTGGGCAACTTAGAGAAAGAGAACCTGTCTCAAAATTTGAAAGATAAAGAGAGCTGGGGGTGTAGCTTAGTGTGAAGGCCCTGGGTTCAATCCCCAGTACTGGGGAAAAAGATTTGGTGTTCATATTGTTAGATGCAACTACAGAGACAGAGAAAGAATAGAGGGAAAACTGCGTGTAGTCTACCCTCTTCTCCCACCGTTCTGCTGAGAGCGCTAAGCGAAGGGAGGCCTGGGGCCACCTGCACCAAACCCTTCCACTCGACCTCAAGACCAGGAGTCCTGAACCAAGGGGGCCAGGTCCTCAGTTCCCTGCTCCTCAGCCCCTCCTCAAAGGTATCATGGCAACAGGCCCCGCCCTTCCCCTCCCCCGCAGAGAACCCGGCTTCTGTTAAAGAGTGCCCCTGCCGGGCAACTTTACTTCGAGACAGGGCTGAGAGGGCAAGTGGGGACAGTAGTGGTAGAGGGGGCGTGGAGACAGAGGCAGCTAGGAGCTGAGCGATGGGGCCAGGGCTCTGGGAAGTGGGCCAGAGAGGCGGGGAGACTAATGAGGTGCTAGGGTTTGAGAACAGCCACAAAGTATGAAGGGAGGGCGGACGTGGGGGAAGTGGAGGTCCTGGGGAAACTGAGGCAGAAGCCAGGAAGATGGAGAAAGGAGGAAGAGAAGGGAGGGAGAAGAGGGCCCAGGAGTCAAGTGAAAGATAGGAGAGCCGGCCAGAGAGGGCGGGAGGCCGAGGCCAGGAGCTGGAGAGAAACTGAGGAAGAGGGGTGGAGAGAGAGGGATGGGGAAGGGGCCTGGAGGAGACCATGGGAGATGCAGGAAGAAGTAGGGAGATGCGGAGGAAGGAACTGGGGTACCCAGGAAGTCCTCAAGGTTAGGGGGACCCGTGTCTCCACAGGGTGCCTGCCTTCTGTTGCCCCATCTCCCTCCTGGAGCATCAAAGAGGAAGGGAGAGGTGGATCTGGGAGGAGAAGCTGGGGTGGGTGGCCCAGACAGAGCCTTTCTTCCCGCCCCCCTGAGACATGCCTCACCCGCCTCTCTAGAATGCAGCCTGATGTGGAGCCCCTGGGCTCCCCCAGCCTGGGGAGCCCCAGCATGCACAGGGAGGCAGGTACTGAGAGGGGGTGGGGGTCTTGGCCTGGTGAGTCCCTGGTATTACAAAGTGAGACCCTTCCTTTACCCCTATATTCATCAGATTGCTGGACAATGGCCCCTTGGATCTCGAACTACATTTTCCATGAGCCTCTGCAGTGCCCTGGCCAATACTGTGAGCCCAGAACTACATTTCCCGTGAGCCTCTGGGTCCTTAGCAACTGTGAGGCCATTTTTCTCTTAGACACCTGCCTGTCTTTGTCTTACACTTTGAATTCAACATCCTTCCTTCCGTTCCTCTCTGATTTTCAGTTTCCAGATGATCCCACCATGATGATCCCACCATAATCCCTGAGCTGGGCCCCTGGTGCCACCTTGCCTGTCCTGGTCCAGCAGCCCACCTATGTGTGATTCCCTTTGCCTGCCCCTTCCTTCTTCCCTGTGCCCACAGCCCTGGCCTTTAGCACTGATCCTGGCTGTCCCCTCTCACAGGCCTCCCTCTGAGGCCCTGTGTGGCCTGTGCCTGTGCCACAGCTCTGTGTTTTCGCGTTGTGCTTTAGCCCAGCCCACTCCCACACTCAGCATTCTCAATGGGGACACAGGGGACTGCAGTTAACAGGCAATGAACTTGGTGTAAAAGGTAGAGTGTCTTTATCTCGCCCCGCCCCCAAGAGCCCAGAAGTGTGTAGGTGTAGGGCATAGGGGTTGGAGTCGGTTGAGCCAGTAGTTTGGTGATGCCATTAGGGCTCAGTTTCTTTCCCATCTCCTGGCTTTTTGGTTTGGGATCGGTCATCTCTGCATACCACCTTGCTTACCTCCTGATCACAAGATAGCTGCCACAGTTCCAGGCATCACCCTGAGAGGTCTTCACTGTCAGAGGCCCCAAGTCATGTCTCCTCACGTGTAATTGGCCGGCGCTCACCCAACCACCTCTACCTGGCAAGATGAGTGGGATTATAATTATTTTACTCAGGGGTCCTCAACTTTGTACATCAGTTGGAAGTTTCTTAAAAACATCTGCATTTTGTAAATGTTTGTTAGGTGCTTCTGATGCAAAAAGAGCTGGAAACGAGCTGGGCGTAGTGGTGCGGGCCTACGTGCACTCCAGAAAGGGCTCGGAGGGCTGCGTGAGCCAATGTTTCTTCATTTTGGGGTTGCTGTTTTCTTTGTGGTGTTTGGGAACTGACCGCATTTTGAGTTTGCCAGACTGGAAACTTTGGCGGAGGCCATGAGAAAGCTTGTGAGCTGCTAATGGTCAAGGAGGGAGCCTGTCCTCAGGCAGGGAGGGATGTGCAGCCGGCTCACAAATAATTCATACCACACGATGTCCGTAAGTGCTCTGCTGTCCGGGGCTGAAGGGAATTCCAGGAAGCTCCCTCCAGCCGGTGACCCAGTCGTGAGGCTCTGTCGTCTTGACCTTGTCTCACTCAGACCCCTCTGCGGAGCGCCCCTTCCTCCTGCCATGTCTCTCTCTCTGGCTGAGTGCTGCTTAATACTTAGGCCTCTCTATGGATAACACCGCCTCTGGGAAGCCTGCCCTGACTGCACCGTCCCTTCCATTACTGCTGGGAGTTCTCAGAGGGGAGGGCAGGGCTGTGGCACTGCTTTCTGTTCCTAGAATCCCTCAGGCTACACGGGAGGCCTCGGAGATGCTGCCAGAGATGGAGATTGTTTCATTTTGTAATTACTCAACAAGTACTAATTTTCAAATTAATACTTTTATTAATTCAGTTACACATAGGCCTTTAAATTAATATGTTTAAATCACTGCTGTATTGGTTTTTTTTTTTTGTTGTTGTTGTTTGTTTGTTTGTTTTTTTGGTGGAACAGGGGATTGAACTCAGGCTCTTGTGCTTGCCAGGCAAGCGCTTATTCTACTGAGCATCTCCCCGGCCTGCTGTTGCAAGTTAGAGACATTCCTTTTTCTTTCTTTCTTTTTGTCTCTTTCTTTCTTTCTTTCTTTCTTTCTTTCTTTCTTTCTTTCTTTCTTTCTTTCTTTCTTTCTTTCTTTCTTTCTTTCTTACCAGGGATTGAACTCAAGAACTTGCACTTGCCAGGCAAGCACTTATTCTACTGAGCTATCTCCCCGGCCCTTTCTTTTTCTTTTTTTAAAAAAATAATGTTCTTTATTTACGTATTTGGTACAGAGTCCTGCTATGCAGCTGAGACTCATAGTGATCCTCCTGTCTCAGCCTCCCCAGTGCTGGGATGACAGGCGTGCACCACCACACCCAGTCCTTTTTTAATTTTTAAATTCTGGGACAAGGTTTTGCTAAGCTTCTGACCTTCTCAGGCTGGGCTCAAACTTGTGATTCTCCTGCCTCAGCCTCTCAGAGTGTGGGGAATGCAAGCATGGGCCACCAGGCCCACAGCAGCAATTACTCCTAAATATCAGCTGATACTCTATATTTAAAGTCCCTACTTGAATCGGAAATGTGTTCACAATGTGCTCAAGAAAGGATGCAAACAGAGGCCCACACATTGCATTTAATTATGCCTCTTTTGTCTCATTCACCCAGTGCTCAGCACTCACCAACTCTATGCCCAGTACTTGTCAGAGCATGGGGCAAAAGCAGGGCCTCTGGCTGCTCGCTGCTTACTGGGCTACAGCAGTAGAACTCCGCGACTACCTGGAGCGCAGAGCATGTGCTGTGACCCCGAGAGCCTCGCTGGTGGACTCCCAGGGACACTCGACGTGCTGAATGAGGGAGAAGAGAGGCCCTTGTGGGACACGGCACGTGCCAAGGCCCCGTGGCAGGAGGGACACGGAGCGTTCAGGTCACAGAAAAGCAGCGTGAAGGACAACAGGACTGGGCAGGCTTAAGGTGTGGGCAGGTCTGAGCCGGCGTGGTCTTGTGGGCCACCAGGAGGATGCTGGATCTTCTACACCCACCACGAGGAGTCCTGGAACAGCCTTATGTTTCAACATACCACCCTGATGGGATGGCTGGGCAGGGAGAGGAGTTCAACGGCTGCTGTCCAGCAAGGCAGGTGGTGACAGGAAGCAGCCCTGCCCTCCACGCAGTTGTAGTGCTCGCCTACTTCTGTCCCCCAGGAGCACCACGTGGGCCTTGCTTTTCCCCCATGCTCTGGAAAGTACTGGGCATAGAGCTGGTGAATCCTGAGCCCTGATTGGATGAGATGGAGGCTGAGAATACATGCTCCCAATCTAGATGCATTTATTTTCATCCTGACTGTATTATTTGGGGCTGTGTGACCTTGGACAAGTCACTTAACCTCTCTGTGTTTTCATTTCATTATCTGGCTCAGTAGCCTTCCCTAAGAATGCAATGGAAAGTGCTTTTCAAGGTGCTTGGCACAAGGACAAGTACTGTGGGCACAAGCTGTTAGTATAATTGCTAAGTGAACAGATGTGAGAAGGCGGCTGGAGTATTTGGAGGAGAGGGGCGGTATAGCTAGAATACCTAGTACCTGGGATGATGGCAGGAGGAAGGAGGATGGGGGGCAGGGAGGTGACCCGGTGATGCCACAGGCTGGCCTGCGTTGACACCCTGGAGCTGCACGCCACTCAGAACACACAGAACAGTTGACATCCGACCGCAGTCACAGTGAGGGCAATGTTTCCACAAAGCCCCCGATGCACCGTGTGTATGTGAAAGCGTCTCGGGAAGACGCGTTCGCAGGGATGCATCACCGGAGTCGGGCTGGGTTGGGGGCTCGGGCTCGGGGAAGGGGCTCTGCTCTGAGGGTGGCAGGAGGACAGCACTGAGGGGCATCAAATGCAGCCTGGGCTGTGATTCATTAAACAGCCCCGAGGCAGGTGGGGCTCCCTCTGAGTCAGGCTTACGAAGTTCTGCACACTGCTCGGGGTGCTCAACCATCTTCCTGGTTTACAAGGTTTTTGCGTTTTCGTCAGTGCCGAGACATGAGGTGGCAGTGGTTTTGTCCTGGGGCACTGTGGTCACTGTGGGCGCCCTGGGTGGTATATGAAAGTCTTTGTGCTCTGTGAGGGAAGATCAGGCCTGGCTATCAAAGGCTACCTTTTTTCTCAGCCTCTGTAACAAAAAGACCTCCAAACATGGGCATGCAGAAGACAGAAGCATAGTTGTCTTGTGTAATGCGAAGCAGGGGGCCGGATTGTGGATATCTTGATTCTGGGGGCCTCTTCCCCTGTTGGTGCTCACACATGATGGGTTATTATTACATCCATGCTTAAGCCAAAGAAAGGGACAAAAAACCCTAAGACAAGCACTTTGTCTGTCTGTCTGTCTGTCTGTCTGTCTGTCTGTCTGTCTCTCTCAAATAAATATTTTGATGCATGCCTGTAATCCCAGCTCTTGGGAGGCTGTAAACAGGTGGATCACTATGAGTCCAATCTAATAGTGAGACCCTGAACACCCTGTAGACCCTTCTCTAAAATATAAATAAGGAATAGTTAATGCTATATATATATATATATATATATAGAGAGAGAGAGAGAGAGAGAGAGAGAGAGAGAGAGACAGGGTCTCATTAGGCAGTTCAGGCTGGCTTGAACTCACTTTGTAGTCCAGGCTGACTTTAGACTCACAGCAATCCTCCTGTCTCAGCCTCCAAAGTGCTGGAATTACAGGCATGCACCACAATGCCCCACAATAAGCACTTGTCTTTTAAGCAAATGATCCCGAAGTTTCAGCCCACACTTGCTCTGCTAATAATTCACTGGTGAGTGCGCAGTCATGTGGCCCTACCTAGCTGCAAGGAAGCCAGAGCAGCTGTGTGAGCTGCAAGGGAGGCCAGGCAGCTGTGGGCTGTATACAATGCTAGGACTGAAGGGGAAGGAGAAATAGGTCAGTGGGACCACTACAGTGGGTCCTATGGGACACACCAGTTAGCCAAGAAGGGACCACAGTTAAGAACTGACATCATCAGCCAAGTTCCAATGAAGACAGTGGATCTGAGAGTGCTGGAAAAAAATGTCAATTGGACCCAAATGTGGTTCCTGGAGACAGGAAATACTGCTGTGCAGGAGCCAGCCAAAGTGACTGGAAAAAGAAACAGAAAGAGCAAGTCCCTCTCTTTCTCCTGCCTCACAGCCTACCTCTGGTGCCTTTTTCAGGCAGAGTCTGACAGGAACCCAACTGTCCAAGCAGAAATGTGGTCAGTAGCATCTTGGTCTTAGCACCTCGGAGATAGTGAAGTAGGGAGTAGTCTGCACCTGGAGGACTACAGAGACTACAGAAGCATAGTTGTCTCATGAAATGTCTCAACAGCTGGCCTGTGAGCTCTGCTATGGTGGCATGGACAGTACTAGCTGATGGCCAGTCAAGTGGAGGCATACTTAGGACTGTTTGTTCTGCATCCCTAGCTGCCCTCCTGGTGGACATGGAGTTCCCAGAAGAAACTTCCACTCGGAGCCTGGACAGGCCCATCAAACCCTCGTGAGTGGCCCCTGGTTCCACGACTTCTGATTTCCACTCCCCCAAATGTGACAGCAGCAAGCCCTGATCATGGAGGTCCCTGCCTCTCTCTCTCTCCCAGGAAGCAATACCTGCAGCAGGTTGTTGCAGAATATGAGGCTCTGGACCGAGAGCTACCATGCATACGGAAGTTCTCCATGCCACCCGCAGCCCAGCCTCTCTGCCTTTGCATGGAGACTTCGGTGAGATTCCCCCTACCTTTGCTCCTTGGTTTCTGCACAACTTGTGGGCAGGGAGTGGAAAGGGTGCAGACTTGGGATTGAGGTGGCCAGGGTTTAAAGCCAGGCTATGTGGTTTACCAGCTGTGAGCCTGGCAGTAGGACAGTCTGCTGAAAATTGACTGTGAATTTGTCAAAGGATTGGTTATGCAATTTATGACTGTTTATCCCAGGGAAAGCTGAGAGGTACAGAAGGAGGCTGAGGGCAAAGGGAGTCCTGCTAATCTATCTGCTAGGAAGTTCTGCAATTTCCAATGTACCAAAAACTCTAAAAGTTTTGTTGTTTTGAACCCAGGGGCAGTCTACAACTGAGCTACATCTCTAGCTCTTTTTATTTAGAGACAGTCCAAGTTTCTCTGGTTGGACTCCGATTTGAGGTCCTCCTGCCTCATCCTCCCAGAGTTCTGGATTACAGGCTGGCCCCTACGCAAGCCAGACACCTAATTCTTCAATGGGAAGAGCTGATGTTAGCGGCACTTACTGTGAGCCAGATGCGTGTCTTTCAGGCACCCCAACCAGTCTCTGTGAATCGAGCCCAACAGAGGGGTTCTTGTTCCACCCAATTCTAGTAGGAGTCTCCAAGAACTTTTAGCACCTCCGCTGCGGGCTGCTAGAAGTTTCTGGTAGACTGGTGCAGTGGGCCACATGGCGAATCTTTCCACCAGCTGTTCACTGGCATTTGGAAGTCAGCTTGGTGCAAACTGAATTCCTGGAGAATGACCTTGAACGACAGTCGATGTTTTTCCATCTGAGAAACACCTGTCGCCGGGACCCCAGGACGAAGTGCCTCTCAAATGGCACCTGGGACTCTGGCAGCTACTGCGGGTGGCATCTAAGGGTCATCCGAGCCAGGGCATCAGGGACACAAGCTCTCTTCTCGATTTCCCAGGAGGATTTTACGCACCTGGAGGTTCTCGAGGCGCTAGAGGCTAAGTTACCTGGGGCCATGGAAAGCGGGCGCGTGAGCAGCATCCGCTTTGAGAACATGAACGTCATCTGTGGGACCGCAGGTCGCAGGGACCGGTGAGCTGGCGCGGAGGGCGGGGCTTGAGGAGTGGACCTGGTGACAAGTGTGAGCACCACAGCCAGGGGGCGTGGTCTAGAGCCAGTAGACGACATGAGTGGCGTCTGAGTGCTGGGGAAGGCGCCAGGTGAAGCATTATAGGGTGAGGGGATCTGGGGACGAATCGGGGTGAGTGGGAGGGGCCGAGGGAGCCCCTAGTAGCGACAAGGCGGGAGAACCGGCTCTGGGGGGCGGGCCTGGAGTGGGCGGGAGCCTGACCTAGGACCAAGGAGTGGACTTGCGCCAGGAAAGGCAGCGGTGGGTGAGGAGCAGAGGGGGCGGAACGCCTAGTAGGGCCCTGGTGTGCTAAGGAAGGCGGGGTCTGGAGAGGTTGCGCTCACGGGGCTGACACGGACATTTGGAAAGCCCCAAATGGGGATCCAGGCACGTGCCGATATCTGCGGGAGGGCATGGTTGGAGAGTCTGTTAGGGACAGAGCAGCCGGAGTTGGAAACCGGAAGGGTTACAATCCACAGCGGGGCTGAGGCCACCAGCACGTTTCCCCTCGCAGGTGGCTCATTATGGTCGCGGACTTCCAGACGCGTTCGCGCCTGCTGCGCTCCGGACTCAGCCCCCGCGGGCTCGCGCACCAGCTAGTTCGCCACGACGATCTACAGTTGGGCGACTACCGCCTGCACCTGCGGCGCTCGCTGGTCCGACGGCGCATGCTCGAGGCTCTGGGGGCGGAGCCAACCCAGGAAGACTGACGCGCTAGGGTGGGCGGGTCCCGGGTGCACTTGCGCACTACGCCCCTGATGCGCGGGCTCGCAGCGCCGGGCAGGGAGGGGGCGTCGCCTCCCAGGAAGGAGGCGGGGCGGCTCGAAGGGGTGGATACTGTGAGTTTAATTATAAAGAATGACCTGGTACAAAAGCCATCTCTCTGCAAAATCTTGGTGGGGAGTCCGGGGGAGGGTGGGGGGGTACGTACACACCCCCTTATGACCCCGCCTCCCTAATCCTACTCCAGTCCCTGCAAATGGTCGCCGGGAGGAACTGAGGCCATCGGAAGGGAAGACTTGGGCGCCAGATTGTGGACGCGTGCAGATTCCGGCCGGTCTCAGCGAGAACCAGACGTCCTCACCCACCCCCTCCTCGCCGCCCTCCCACCCCCCTTGGAAGACAATTCTCGGGCTTTTATTTCAGGTTTTTTTTTTTTTTTCTGGATTTGTGTGTGTGTGTGTGTGTGTTCTAGGGTTTTGTTTTGCTTTGTGTTTCGTTATTTCTTTTTGCTTAGTCTCTCCACCCCACGCCGCCCCCTCCAGTCCCTCCCCCCTCCCCTACTTCTCCTCCCCCCTCCCCACCCCCTACACCCTCCCCTACCCCGCGGCGCCCATCCAGAATGAACAAGCCCTTGATAGACAGGCGCCGCGCAGGCCCCCTGCGGACTGGGGGCATCCGACCAGGGGGAGGGGGCGGGCAGGGGCCCAGCGCGACCTCTGCTTTTCTCCTACCACCCCTCCCCCCTCCCACGACCCTCCCACAAGGTTCCCCGCAGATCCCTGACATGGTGAGGGGAGGGCTGCCCCTCCCCTCGTGGACGGAGCCCCCCCCCCGTGGGGGTAGGGGCAGCAGAGGGGGATGGGTTTGGGGGAAGGAGGGGAGCGCCCTTCTTTGGCAGCTGAACATGGCGGGAACCTGAGGGCAGTGCCCTCCCCTTCACCCACAGCAGGGGAGGGGGCTTCCACGGGGGAGGGCTGGCTGTAAAATTCCCAAGCCCCAGGAATAAGGGGTAGGGGCAGCGTGCGGGAGGGAGCAGCCATGCTGGTGGGAGAAAGCGGGGCCTTGGAAAGACGGGAAGGCTGGGAGGGAAAAGGCTGAGGGAGCGCGTGGCAGGGGGCGGGCCAGAGAAGAAGCCTGGTGAGCCCGAGCAGGTGAAGAGCGAGGCACGGGGAGAGAAATGACAGCGCGGGCCCCAGCGCACGGACGTGGGAGGCCAGGGGTGCTAAGGAAGAGGGCAGAGCTTGGGGCCAAGGGAAAGTCGCCTGGAGTGAGCAGAAGGCCAGGGAGTATGCAGCAATGTCCGGAGTGCATTATAAAAGAAAAGAGGCTCCTGGGAGCCAGGCGAGCACTGGGGAAGGTGCGTGTGCAAGGGGGCTCACAACGGAGGGCGCAGCATGGCAGAGGTGGAAAAAGGATGTGGATGCAGCGCGTGTGGATAGAAGCAGCCTTACGGGCAAGCGCAGGAGGTGGGCCAAAGTGACAGTGCGAGGAGGGTCACGGTGGGGCGGGGCCTCGAGTGAGAAGAGGAAGTCTTTCAGCAGAACAGAATGTAGGTGCACGTATGGGAGAGCACAAGACGGCGAGTGTGCAAGGGTTGAGCGAAGGCAGGGCCCCAGGGAGGGAGTGTGCAGGGTCCAGGAGGGTCAGGAAAGGTGGGTCCCATATGTGTCTGCATCATGGGACCTGCGTGAGTGAAAGGAGACTTCACGAGGGGGAGGGGTGCAAGGGAGGGCCCTGGGGGAGAAAGGGTGTGCAAGAGGGGCACGAGAGGGGAAACACGAAAGTGTGTACAGAAAACTGTGAGAGCCGGGCGGGAGGGCAGGTGGCATGTGCAAGATAGCGAGGGCGAATTTGTGCAAAATTGCAGCTGAGGGGGAGAAGAGAGGACAAGCAGGCGTGCAACAGAGCTGAGCGTGCAAGGAGGGAGTGGTGTGTGCTGGGTAGAGGTGAGGGGGCTGAGGGGCCTGGGGAGGCAGGAAGGCTGCTCGAGGGGCGGCAGGTGGTGGAATGTGAGGGCACCCCTCCCCTGTGGTTGGGGGTCGCCCCCATCCGGTCAGGCTTAGGGCTGACCCTCTATGGCTCTGTCTGTCCCCTCCCCCCAGGATCGACCCTTCCCCCATCCTCAGTCCCCTTGTGTGATATCTTCCGACCCCTCTTGGCTCCCCGAAGTGTCACACATATTCTAGTATCAGCGGCCCCCCTCCTGTGAGGTGCAAATGTCCGGCCTGTGCCTGGCCACCTGGTGACCTCAGGCCTTGGGACAGAGGGCAGGACACAGTTTCCGCAGAGTCCCTGCCCGGGAGAGAACGGAGACAACGTGGTCCAGGGTCAGAGGTCGAGAGGTGGCTGGCTCGGGCTTCTGAGGACGGGCTGGTCCGTCCAGGCCAGCCATCACCTCTCCAGGAAAAATTTGAGAGCCCGGTCAATGTTCATGCGGTGGCCCACCCTGGTGACCCCCAGGTCCACATAGTCCTCCTTGGTCAAGGCGGGCAGGTGGGAGCCGTCAATCTCGTGGTCCAGGAAGCGGGCTCGGTGCTCTGCTAAGCCTAGCCACTCGAGCCAATCGGCCACATCAAACTTGGTCCAGAAGCCCAGAGGTTTAGCGCCAAACGGCTTGTCCGGGGGCAGCGACAGCAGGCGGGTTGGCGACAGGGAGCGGGAGGCCCCTGACAAAGCTCCTCCGAGGCCCCCGGACATCCCCGAGTGCGGCGGCACAAAGACAGGGGCAAAGGGGTCTGCAGAGCCTCCCGCCCCTCCGGTGGGGGAACCTCGGATGTCAAAGAGGCCTGGGTAGAGGGGTCCAGAAGGCAGGATGGGCAGGGACGAGGGCCTGGGCGCGGGGCTGACCTTGTGCTCCGAGGCGGGCAGCAGAGAGGGGCTAGGGGCCCGGCGGAGCAGTGGGGGCCGCATCTCGAACTCCACGCCCTGGAGGTGGCGGGAGGAGGTGGAGGAAGAGGCCGAGGGTGAGATGGCCCCCGGGGCTGCGGTGGCTGAAGGCGACACCCCTGTTCCGGTGGGGAGTGGTGGCAGAGGTGGCTTGGGCCAGTTCTGAAACAGGCTGCTGACAGGTTTGGAGAGGAGCGAGGACTGGGAGTCATCCGAGAGCCTGCAAGGGGCCAGGGGCCAGGGGCCAGGGGCGGGGAAGAGGGGTTGGGGGGATGAGGGCGGGGTGAGAAAGAGGCAGAGGTCAAGATACAGGGAGAGGCATGAACGGATGGAGCAGAGAGATGGGCAGAGACAGGAGGAGGAAGGGGGGAGACGGACGGCAGGACAGAAGATGAGCAATCGATCGGGAGAGGGCGACAGTCGAGAGAGATGAAAGAAAAAGAGACATTAAGTGATAATAATAATCATTGCCACCACTTACTGCTGCTCGCGTGTGCCAGGCATTGTTCTAAGTGCTTTACATATCGCATCGCAATTTAATCCCCACAATAGCCCTGCTGCAGGTTACTATCATCGTCCACATTAGCAGCACAGAGAGGTTTAGTAACTTGCCTAAGGACACACAGCCAGGAAGTGGCAGAGCCCGGTTATATGGCACCAAACTCTGAGCTCTTAACCACTACCCTATACTGCCTTTGGGGTTATGGCCAGTTATAGCAGCGTGGAAGACAGGGACAGTGAGAGAGAAACAAAAAAAGAATGTGCATTGGGGAAGAGAGATGGAGGGGGTCAGGGGACAGAGAAAGAGAGAGATGAAGAGAGGGAGATGAAAGAGAGAAGAAACAAGGGGAGAAAAAGGTTCCCCTCATCCCTTTAGCTCGCTTCAACAGACTCTCTTCCCGGCGCCTGCCACCAGCTCCTGTCCTCCTGGGCTCTCAGCTCCGTGCCATCCTGCCAGGGAGCCGTGTGAGGGCGACTGCGACCATTCTGCACCCCCTGCCTCAGTGAGCAGGCTCTGAGCTGCGTCTGTCTAGTCCACGATGGGCTCAGCATTCAGGGAAGGGCACCCAGCCCATGGGAGCTGATGGGTCCCTAACCACACTAGGCTACGCATCCTCACCTTCACTCTTAAGGAGAGAGCAGCGAGAGCTCTCAGTGCCCTGGCAAGCCTACATTCAAAGGCAACCCGAGTGGAATGCGATCCCGTCGCAGGGAGCCCCGCGGGTGGGCAGTGTTTTAGAGCGCTCCCTCCTGCTGGGTGTCTGTCACTGGCCACTTGCCCTAAGACCACAGGATTTTGAATGGGCTTGGACTTTGGGTGATCCCTGCTCACTACCAGCTTTGGGGGACCTCTGCATCCCCCTGCGTTTCCCCATCTCCATGGTGCTGGGTTCTTCAAGCGGCCCTGTCCTCTGCCTCAGGGTGTGACATGGTGCACCTCAAGTCTGCCTGTTAGGTGGGGTCGGTACTGTCCCCGTTCTGCAGAAAGCTCAGTTCCTTCACCTAAGACCACCTAGCCAGAAAAGGCTGGGTTGGGCCTCAGCCCCTGAGAAGCTGGGCCCTGTCTCCCTGTCTCGGGCCACCACAGGTACGAGGCAGGCAGCCCTCTCTTTTGGTAAAAGGATTGTTCTTCCGGGCGTTACTGTGATGGAGATGGAGTCCGAGGAAGGTGCATGTGAAGCCTTTGTGAATTTGAGCTTCCCCGGGAACAAGTCCTTGTAAACCAGCCTACTTTGTGTCTTTTGGTCACGGGGGAACCCTCAGGGGACACTGTTATGGGGGGTGGGCACTGATGCCAGCAGCCCTGCTCACCTCTGCCGCTGCAGGGAAGAGGTCCTCTCGGGGACGTAGCTGGCTCCGCCGTGGTGGCTGTCCCCACTGCCCCCGCTGCCTCCCCGGGCCCAAGGCAGGGCCCCTCCAGCTGCCGAGGAGCCCCCGAACTGCTGGAGCTTGGAGCTGAGTTCACTGATGATGCTGGCTTTGACGGTGGCCAAGGCAGAGGCTTGAGGTTGGGACAGGGGCCCCGGTAGGGGTGGCGGGGGTGGGCCTGGGCCCTCCTCCCAGGGCAGCAGCTTCCGAGGCAAGGAGGAGGCCGTGGGCAAGGGCACCGGTGGGACTTCTGGCTCTACTGCTACCGGACCCCCAGTCACACCTCCCGCGGAGGGCCCTGAACAGGCGCTCAGGGCCAGCAGCCCGTCGTTGCCAGCCCCGGTCACGGAGACGGTGGGACTGGTGGGGGTGACTGGGTCTCGGAGTCCGCCGCTGGGGCTGGGTCGCAGGCCTCCACCTGTCCCCAGCGCCCGGCTTCGGAGCTTAGAGGGTGTCATGAGTTGCGGGGGATACGGCGGGCCGGGTGTCCCACTGCCCCCGAAGGCCTGGCCGTCCAAATAGGCCACGTAGGTGTCCAGCAGCTCGGGACCGCTGGCCACACCGGCCCCGGCCCCGCCCGCCGCACTGCCACCGCCCTCGGCAGACAGGCTGCTTAGCGTGGACGCGCTGCTGATGGTCTCCAGGGGATGATCACTGCTGCTGCGACTGTCCACCTCCTCGATCCCAGAGTCCGTGCCCGGCGGTGGATCCGGGCCTGGCTGCGGGGCGGGAGGCGCTGGAGCTGCTGGGGCTGGCGGGCCTGGTGGAGGGGGATCCCCAGGAGCCGCGGGGGCCCCCTGGGTCAGCGTGGCCACCTCACTATCATAGGACGTCAGGCTGGATGCGGTGGAGTCCAGGGTGGGTGGGGCGGGGGCGGGGGCCGCCGGGGGTGGCACTGGGGGCAAAGGGGTGACCGGAGTCGGGGGGTCCGGGAGCGGATGTGGGGGCCCGGGCGTGAGCGGAGACTCGGGCTTCTCAAAGCTGTTGGAAAACTCGAGAGGCGGGGGCAACGGCTCAACGAAGAGGAAGTCGCCGTCATCCACATCCACCGACGGGGCGGGCGGCGGCAGCACGAGCAGCGGGAGCCCGTTCTCCTCGCCGCCCCGCGGGGACGTTGGCGAAGCGGGCACGGAGCGGCGCGGGCTGGGCGGCGGGACCCCGGGCCCATCCTCCGCGGAGGGCCCTCTGGAGACCGATGCCGGGGTCGCGCGCGGCTGGCAATTCTCGAGGAAGCGTACGTGGAGGGGCAGCCGCTCCGGCTCCTCAGGGGCTCCGGACCGCCAGGCCTTGCTGACCGCGGGGTGCGGGGTGGGAGGCTCGGGGCCGAGCTGCAGCAGCAGGGGCCCCACGCCGGGCGCCGTGGGCGGCAGGCGGTGCAGCAGCGAGCGTCGCGCGGCGGGCGGACTGGCGGTGAGCGGCTTGTCTGGCCCGCCCAGCCCGGCTCGGTACCCCAGCTCCCGGCGGGCGGGGTCGGGCGGCGGCGCTCCCCACAGGCGCAGCACCGGCTCGTGGTGCGCGTGGGGCGAGTGGTGGTGAGGGGTGGGCGGCGGGGCGTCGTAGCGGGGCGAGGGCGGCCGGGGCGGGGGCTGGGGGACGCCGCCGCCTTCCGATGACTCCTTCAGCGCGCGCTCGCGGGCGGCCAGCGCTAGCCCCAGCGGGGAGGCCGGGTCGAGGGCCTTGCCGGTGAGCGGGTGCACCAGGGGCCGCGGCGGCAGGAAGCTGGAAAAGGCGCTGCTGGCCCCGCTGCCCGCGTAGGCGCGAGCGCCCCCGGAGTAGCCGGCGTAGCCTGAGCTCCCTGCGCCCCCCGCGGACTCCAGGCGGAGGTAGGGCTCAGCGGAGAACATGCCCTCGTCGATGGACTTGGAGTGGCGCAGCCGCGGGCCCGGGGTCACTCCCGCGCCTAGCCCGCCATCGCCGCCGTCCTCGTCGCCCGCGTCGGTGGAGAGGAAGAGCGTGGAGCGCCGGCGCGCCTCGTTCTGCCAGCCGCCCTCCCTGCGTGCCGCGCCCACCAGGGCCGCCCCGAACTGGCTGGTGAAGTCCAGGGTGGCCGGGCCGCTGGGCGAAGCGGGCGTGGGCACGGGCGACGGCGACGGCGGCACGGGTGACAGGGGCGGCGCCGGGCTGGGCGAGGAGCCCCCGCCCCCCGCGCCCCCTCCGCCGCCGCCCGCGGGGGTCTCGGGCTGCGTCGGGGGTTCGGCCTCGGTGCTGCTGCCCTGGCTGCTGCGGCCGCTGCTGCTGGTGGACGGCGCCTTTATGATGATGGTGGGAATGGGGATGGAGTTCTTCTCGGCCGGCGCGGGAGTGGCGGGCGGCGGCTGCGGCGACGCGGGGGACGCGGGCGCGGTAGGAGGTAGGGCGCCCTTGTGCGGCTCGCCCTCCACCTTGGTCTGCTTGACCAGCGGCCCCTTGCGGCCGCGGCCGGAGCGCGCGGGCACGTACATGGCGGCGCTGGCGGCACGCGGCGGGAGCTGGAAGTAACGCAGGGCCGGGGCCTGCGGGCCGCCTCCAGCGTGATGCGACGGCGACGGCGTCCCTGGGCTTGGGCTGGGCCCGCCGCCCCTCCAACCCCGCAGACTGGGCTGGGGCCCCAGAGCCAGGCGCGGTGGAGGGTCGTCCGGGGCGCCGCCGGTCTCCATCTCCGGGGGGTGCGGTGGGTGTGCGTGGTGGTGGTGCGGCGGGGGCGGCGGCGCGTGGTGGTGGTGGTGGTGCGGCGGGTGGTGGTGTGCAGGGGGTAGGGCCCCGCCGTGGTACAGGCTCTTGTCCCGCCCCCCCACGCGCGTATCGGGAGGGGCTGGGCCATCAAAGGACGCGGGGGAGGAGGCGGGGAGGGGTCCTCCGGAGCCGGGATTGAAGGGCCCTCCCCGAGGGGAGGGGGTGAGACGGCCCGAGGAGGAGGGGGCCGGCGGTGTGCTGTATGGGGGCTCTGGCGGGGATGTGGTGGGCGGTGGGGGGATGTCCTCAGAACCTGGCACAGACAGGCTGCGGCTGAACTTCATGGCTGGGGGTGCTAGGTATGGTCTATCATCCTCTGCAGCCCCTGGGGAGACACGGAGGATCCCGAGAGGGACGTGGCGGGGCTCGCCCGCTGTCCTGTCCCCTAAGAGAAACAACAGCAACGCCCCCGCCACCTAAACTGCTAAACGCTTCTCACCCACCAGCCCAGTGCTTCAGGTTTGGCACTACACAACAGCAAACAGCAGGGGGAGCAGGCAGGAGGTGAGGGGCGAAATTCAACTGAATTTCCACCTCCAGACACGAGGGGGCGCCCTTTTCTCGTGCGCACAATGGCCAGCGGGATGCCTTGGGGTGAGCAGAAGTCACTGGAGCTGGGAAGGGCCGCCACAGTTATGTTCCAGGGATTTCACAGCCACCACAACTCAAGATGTGGCTGATGGCAGACAAGCTTTTTTTTGCTTGGGGACTGAGCCCACGGTCATGCTTGCTACACCAGCTTCCAACTGTCGGGCTAGGTCCCCAGCCCAAGAGGTAGCTGACACAGAGAAAAAGTACTCGGCGCGTGGACGCTGCGTTACTTTGGGGATGGTGGATGCTGGACTCGGGAAGAGGAATAGGCAAAACCAAAGAGTTCAATCTTTGCCTGCCCTCCGGCTCAGACCTCGACTCTCCTATTTCTGGCTGCCCTTTCCTGCACAGCATCTGGCTTCAGTCCCGCTCTGTCATCAATGCCCGCGTTGATAGGTGGAGCCCCATCCCCAGGCCTGAGCACAGGGCTACGACAGCCGGGGATGCAAACACGTCTCCACTTTCTAGATGCATTTGGAGCCAGGTGCTCCAAATCCATAGCTGGGAAGGAGAGGAGCCAGGACCCACAAGAGCTTTTCTGGCCAGCTCGGCAGCACTGCGGCGGTCACAGGTGTGAGCAGAAGACGTGGCCAGGCACTCTCGCGTTCCCCGTGGAAGGTCGCCCTCCCCGCATGCCCCGTCCCTCGCAGGGAACATACCGATAGATTTCTGTCGAAGCATGAGCCCAGGTCCAGGAGGCAGGAAGGAAGGACGTTCGTAACTTGGCTGGGAGCGGTGATGGGGATCGAAGCTTGACTGGGGCAGCAGCCATTGAGGAGAGAGAAAACACAGCAGAGAAAAATCAGAGAGGGTGTGCTGAGATAGGGGCTTCGCCGTCTACTGCCCCCTTCCTTCTCCAACCACTGGGAGAAGGCTCCAGGAAGGAAGCTCTCTTGAGTCTGCACAGCAGGCAGAATGCAGATGGGCAGGTGACCCTGCTCTCTACTGAGCTGTCTCCCTGGCCCGGCCCTGTTGGTTATGCTGGTAATTTCCGGCTGTCACTGCACAGGACCAGGTCTCCTCAGTCCCTTGCCTGGACAGCTGCAGTAACCTTTGCATCTTTTTGCCCCAAACCCCATCCCCCAGCCGTGTGGCTATTGTCCAAATGCGGGGAGGATCATTCCAAAAGAAAGGCAGAGCCTGCTGCTGCTGTGCTTCAGATGTAGGGTGACACCCAACAGCAGTGAGAAGTGGCTCTCGATTCCCAGCTCAGGTCTACAAGGGAATCTGAGAGAGGCACTGCTGGGTCCAGATCCCCTGCTGCTGTGAACAGCTTCTGCTGGTAGCTCTGGACAGTCGTGGGTGTCCACAGAAAGTGCCGTAACCTCGGCACTCAGAAGGCTGAGGCAGGAGCACTGCCGTGAGTTCGAAGCCAACCTGACCTACACATTGAGACCCTGTCTCAAAACCAAACCCCCCCCCAAAAAAAAAGAAGAGCAGAGCAGCCCACAAGCCTTGTAGGACTGACACACAGGGAGAGCCAGGCAGGGCCAAGGCTGGGCTGTGATGTGAACTCGGGGCTCCCAGGAGACCACAACTGCTGATCCCTATAGCCAGGTCCCACCTCCTTGTCCCCCTCAGAGTCCCCAAGCTTGTGGAGTCTCAGGAGTCCTGTCTCAGGCTCCCACCTGGGGTGCCCTGTGAAGCTCCCCCTCTTTCTGTGCCTCCACCCCAGGTCTGTCTCTTCTGTCAGGCAGTTCCTTCCGTCTCTGCCTTCTCCGTTCAGATGCCCCCGCATGTCCCATCACTGTCTCTGCATTTCCCTGCTATAGTGCATCTCTGTTGGAAGCAGGCTTGTCATTTGCTGTGGCCTCCCAGACATCCCAAAGGCAGGAGCGACTTCTCATGCTGGAGCCCTGGGTTCCAGGCCCACCATACTTCTGCAGGAAGTGTTTCAACATTTAGGAACCAGGAAAAGGAATGTCAGCCCACTTGGATGAGGCAGTCATTGCTTGGTCACGTGGGGAGCCGATTTCCGGGTTCCCAGGAAGGCACAGTCCGTGGATGCTCAGTCCCCTAGACACAGTGGTGCAGGGTTTATACGTAACCACACAGCCTCCTGCACACTTTGCCGCCTTAGATTACTTAGTGCCTACTACAATGCAAACACCACACCAGTCACAGCTTTACTACACCATGTGGTTGGGATAATAACAGGAAGTCGGGCATGATGGTACACACCTGTAACCCCAGCACTTTGGAAGGCCGAGGCAGGAGGATTGCAAGTTTAAGCCCAACCTGGGAAGCTTAGAGAAATCCTGCCTCAAAACAGAAACTAGAAGGAATTGGGAACATAGCTCAAAAACCACAGTGCAGGGGCTGGGGAGATAGCTTGGTGGTCTAATTGTCTGCCTGGCAAGCACAAGGACTCAGTTTCGACCCTTGATACTGCATGCACTGGAACCACACCATGCCATCCCTGGAAACCAGGCATGGTGGCGTATGCTTGTAATCTCAGCACCAGGGAGGCTGAAACAGGAAGATCACTGAGTCTGAGCTGTGAAGTAAGACCCTGTACCAAATAAATAATTTTTAAAAGTTAATAAATAGGGCTGGGGAGATGGCTCAGTAGAATAAGCACTTGCTTAGCAAACACAATGGCCTGAGTTCAATCCCCAGTTCTGGGAAAAAAAAAAAAAACCCAAAATACAGTGCAGAAAATTCACAACTTCCACCTTAACACTTTCAGTCTGGACTCAGTTGTATTGGGGCATTTGGAATGCCTCCTGTCCTTCTTATAAGCTGAGTCAGATGACAGGTAAGTGACCAGGAAGTTGTGAGCTCCAGGAGCAGCTGGGCCCTTGCTCAATTCTTCCAGGTGACCCCCCAGATATTTCTCTTCTCCACCCTTGCAACCAGACCAGGAAACTCGCTCTGGGCATGAAGTCAGACCCCACCTCCCAGCCACTGATCCAGCCCTTGATAAAAGTCCCCAGACCTCAGCAGTCCTGGCTGCTTCTCACCTCAGAGTCAGCACACTGGTCCCCAGCCCTCAACAGCCTTTCCCTGTGCTCTGAAACTGTCACCCTAGCCCCTTCTTCAAGGCCTGTGCTGTCCCATACATGGCTGCTGGCCATCTGGATGAACACTACAGTTAATTAACAGAAAAAAAAAAAAACCTCAGGGAAGACAGGGGCAGCAGCACTGACAGGGTGGGAACAGGTGGGCAGCTGGTGGCTGCACCCAGAAGAGGTCAAATGGTGGCTTCCAGGAGGTGGAATCTGGACTGTCCTTCCAGCCCCAGCATGCACACTTCTGGGGGCTCAGGGAAGGAAAGAGGATTAGTTTGCATTCCACCTTATGCAACTTTTTGGGTTCTGCTGTGCTTGCAGCCTCAGCCACTGCCCAGTCGCAGTGAGGTCTCCCCTTTGCTATTTTCTACCCTGTCGAGAGTTGTGGTGCTAGAGTTTACCTCAGTAACCCCCATCAGACCTTGGCAGGATCACCTTTGGCCCCATCTTACAGAAGAGGAAACTGAGATGCAGAGATGAAGTCAGGTGGGCTAAAGTGGCATATGGCATGGTGGGAGTTAGGGTCTGAATCTGTGTTCGTCCATTGCTGTAGACTTTCTGGGGTCTGGGAACAAAGGGAAGCACCTGGGGGAGGTGTGCAGGCCCAAGGCGGGAGAGCACAGGCTGACAGTAGGAAAGACGCCCAAAGAAATGGGACTGTGAGGAGTACGTGCTAGCCCTTCGGTGTGACTACCTTTAATTTTGAAACAGTGTCTCACTAAACTGATAAGTTGACCAGTCTGGGCTCAAATTTGTGATCCTCAGCTGGGAGATAGCTCAACAGCATAAGTGCCTGCCTGGCAAGCACAAGGTCCCGAGTTCAATCCCCAGTACCAAAAAAAAAAAAAAGAAAAAGTGATTCTCTTGCGCTGCCTCTCAGCATATCCAAAAGTGATGGATGGGGGATGGATGGTTGGATGGATGGATGGTTGGATGAGTATGGTAGACTCTAGAATCTCTGCAAGTCCACTTGGGGAAATACAGGGCTGAATATCATTTACCCTTAGAATGATGAGTGGCAGAGTTCTCAACCGGAAGTGGTGTATTCTGCTGGAAGACACTGGAAGACAACTCAGGGACACCAGTTGGGAAGTGGTCTTGGCATCTTGAGGCCGATGAGGTTAGGGGTGCTGCTACCTGTCCTGCAGCACTAGGTGTCGTGGTCATTTTAAACACCACAACCACCAACAAAGAGCAGGAAGATGCAAAACACTCTGCAATGCATTGATCGTGCCAAAGGTGCTGATCTGCAGCACAGTGTGCAGACAGGAAGCAGGGGCTTTCCTGCCCCCACTGCCCAGCTTCAGATTTCTAAGCAAACAGAAGACCACAGAGGAAAAGCGATAAAAGCCCTGGGGCGGCAGATCAGGGCTGCACAGAAGGAAGAGCTTCCAAAACGTCTGCCCACATACGGACTAGCTGCAGCGGGAGGCGGGGAGCTCTTTGACTGTGGAGGCATTCAAGCACAGGCTGAAGGACCAGGCCGAGAGACAGCAGAGGCCTCAAAACTAAAGGTGAGCCTGGCATCTCAGCACTTTGGAAGCTGAGGCAAGAGACTGGGAGTTTGAGGCCAGCCTGGGCTACACAGTGAGACCCTGTCTCAAAAAAAAAAAAAAAAAAAAGAAAGAAATCTGAAGAAGGGGTGAGCTGTTTTTCAGCCAATGTTCCCAGATGCTAGCCAGAGAGCTCCTGTTGCTCAGACCTGGATGGGAAATTTCACCAACTCCAGCGCTGCTCCAGAGAACGAGGAGCCTCAGATCAGGGGGAATGGAAATACATGTCTGAGACAAGGCCAGGAAAGGAGGCTGCTGGGAGCTCCTTGCATTGAGTCCTGGGAAACAGCAAGGTCAGCGGCCACCCCACCTCACAGAGACGGGCATGAAGATACCCAGAAACTAAGTGGTGGCGTCCCAAGTGACACAGGGGTTGGAGGAAGCTGAGCCACGCCTACCTTCTAAGGCCCAAGAGCTTTTGGTTCTCATGCTGGGGCCTGGGGGTGAGGTGCAAAAGGTGAGCCTGAAATTTGCAAGGGCTTCGAACTCCTCAAGAATGGGTAGTGCAGGGTCAGCCAGATAGCTCAGTAGACTGAAGCACCTGCTTAGGAGGTGCAGGGGTCCCCAGTGTGCTGTGCCAACCCTGCTCCCGAGGGCACGCTGAGACAGTGACTGAGACTAGGCATGGTGGCGCACACCTGGTATTCCAGCGCTTAGGAGGCTGAAAACAGGAAGATCACTCTGAGTCTGAGCTGGGTAGTGAGACTCTGTACTAAATAAATTTTAAAAAAGAAGAAAAGAAATGGATACTGGTGAGCTGTGGTGTGCCAGACACTCTCCAGGGAGGGGGACCCTCTGCCTATCTACACCAGAAAGACATTCCAGAGTCCTGGTGCAAAACTTGTCCCCTGCTCTTGTGTCATTTCCTTTTGCCTTCCCTTTCCTGTCCTTCCTTCCTTTCTGTACTAGGGCCTGGGCCAGGGCCTTTGCACTGAGCTTTATCCCCCAACTCTTTCTGTAAGGTTTACTTTGAGACAAGAGTCTCGCTAAATTACCCAGGCTGAGCTTCCACTTGTGATCCTCCTGCCTCAGCTTCCCAGAATACTGGGATTCTGGGCATGCACCACCACACCTGGCTCGCTGACTCTTGTAGAAGTAGGCGACCCACTAGAGCAGATGGTCCTGCCCTTGGTGAGGCTGTGGTAGACTCCGCTCCAGGGGTGGGGGCCTGTGTACTTAGAGGACTGAAAACTAGGTCTTTATTTTCACATCCTCCAACAAAACCTCAACTCTTCCTCAATTAAGGACAGAAACAACAAACTCTGCTAGTCTCAGCAAGCCTGGTGTCTGCATCCCCATAGAAATCACAGATATTTCCATATCCCATTGCAGTGGCGCAGATTTCCTGAAGTAATGTTTATGCTCCTCATGATTTTGAAATTAGAGTAGTTAAAACCCACTGTCAGATTGCGCTGTGAAATGTGTTGGTGAAGAGGCACTGATATTATGATACCACAAATTTTGCTCTTTAAAAATATTTTGATAACTCTATTTTGGTCTAACTGGCTTCTTTTGTTATCCTGCATATCGCATTTTTTGCATTTTTAAGCATTATTCTGAGAAAAATGACGCCAGTCTATCGAAGGGCTCTGGGGCTCCCTAAAAGCCTGCGAAGCCAGCTTTAGACTAAATGACTTGAGCACAGCGGGGGCTGGAGGGGCATGGGGGGATGACAGTGTGGGGGGCACAGGCAGGCCTAGGGCACACCCGTGGGATGACAGCCAGGGACAGGCCAGCTGGGGCCCTCAAAACAGCCAGGGCTGAGGTTGGACTAACAGTTCAGGGCCTGAGTTGGAATCCTGGCCCTTTCTCTGAGCCTCAGGTTCTGCCCCCCAACCCCCAGCCCTCTGCAAGAGGACTGTGTACCCCACAGGACAATTCAAAGAAATGAATGAGATACTCCATGCAGAGCGCAGAACCCACTGTAGCTTTCCCTCTCCCTGTGGGGGCAAGCCATCAGAGACAGGACAGGATAGTAACTCATTCCGAGACAGAAAAGGCCCTGTTATGCTGCCCATACTATCCAAGCTCCTGGGCTGAGGCAGTCCTTTCGCTTCCAAGTAGTGAGAGGCCTGGCTTAATAATTCATATCTTACTAACGAACACTTGCCAAGCTCCTATCCTTATGCGGGGGAATCTCCATCTATGACATCGCTCTGGCTGCCGTGAGACCCCTGCGGTGGAAGAGGAAGAAGTGGGACCAAGAGCCAAGGTGAGGACAGGAGAGGTGGGCGTGGGTGGAACATAAGGAGTCGAGAGAAAGGAGGCTCCAGAGAAGGAGGGGCCCAGGAAGTATGGCGCCTCCGGCGTGACGTGGGCTCAGGGAAGGTTTTGGCAGGGGACCCTGGTTCCCTCCCCATGCCAGCTGCCTACCTCGGTGGCGAAGAAGCCTTTGGGCCGGTGCTTGCCCAGGGACGCGAGGCCGCCAGGCGCAGGGCTCTCACTAGCGCTGATGGTTTGCTGGGCTGCCGCCAGGATTTCGTCCAGTTTGTCTGAGAGAGGTGGAGACAGGAGACCATGAAGTGTGACACAGGGACAGAGCCACACTACATGCAGCCAACAGAGGGGGACATGTGACAAAGAGGGTGGTAGCCAGGGGCTGAGGAACCGGGCTGGGACATCTTACTGAGAGCCATCTGATACACAGTCCGCTTTTTCTCCATGCTGGGCATCGGCGCAGGCTGCTGCTCATACTCTGTGGGCAAAGAAGACAGATGTAGCTCAAGAGCGCCCACGAGAGGCGGGGTGGAATGGGCTTGGCCAGTGGGCGTGGCCAACAGGTGCAGCCAGTGGGCGTGGCCAGTGAGCGTGCGCAAGCGCAGTGGGGGCAGTGAGGGGCCGGGTGGGGAGGGGCGAGTCCGACAGTGGGGTTGGGACATGGGGGCCCTCCCGCCAGTCCTGTGCCCACTCACCACTCTTCTTCTTCCAGGGGGAGACTAGCCCGGGGGAGAGGCAGTAGAGGAGCCAAGAGTTAGGACATCAGGGGGAGTCGAGGGGTTCCCCTCTCTGGAACACCCGCCTCCCTTGGGGCCCCATAAGTGTCTGGAGAAACTGGGACTCCCAGATCTCCTCAGCCCTACCTAGGGGGAGGGGTTGCCTTCCGGGGATACTGAGGGTTCAGGAAGCTACTAGAGGAGAGAGATAGAAAGCGGAGGCCAGGGAAGAAGTTGGATGGATGGAGAGGGACCAGAAGGAAGGACAGAGTGACCCACAGAAAGGGACACGAATAGACCTCCAAAGAGAGACCTCGACAGAGAAACAGATACGAGAGAACAGAAGAAAGCCATCTTTCAGACACCCTTCCCAGCAACACACAAGGCAGGCCAGAGTCCTGGCCACAGACGGGACAGGAAGAGGACAGAACCCCTGGTCACTAACAACACTAACGAACTCAAGGGACGCTCAAGCCCCGCCCTGCCCGGCCCTCACCCCAGCAGCCCCCCAGGCTCACCCATTTCCTCCAGCTCTGAGGTCATAGACTTGGAGCGCAGGGAGATGGCCGGGGGAGGGAGCCGCTTGGCCTGCTGCGGGGCTGGGAGGGGTGGGGACATCAGTACCTCGGGAGACTGCCCCCAACCCTCTGCCCCCGTAGTGCTCCCAGCACCACAGGACAGCACCACCAGAATGCTGAGCCCTTCCTGCCTCAGTTTCTTCCTAGGAGGGCCATGAATAAATAGGCTTGGGCATGGGCAGGCCTTGGGGTCTGTCTAGTGGCAGAGGGGCACCCAGGCCTGGCTCAGGGAATTGAGAAGCACCTTTCTTATGGACAGCCTCATCCATGTCCGGATGCCTGGTGACCATCACCACCTTCACCATGAGCGTGTTGCCCCCTTGTCGGATCATGTTCACCACCTGCCGGTGGCCAACCTTCACCACGTTCTGCCCATTCACCTGCGGCATGGAGCACGGGGTTCAGCCCCAGGGTCCTCAGCCTGGTGGCCTCTGTCTTGCCCCACTCAAGACACCCTCCACCACTGTCTGCCCCTTCCTTGGGAGAGGCCTGTAGCATGCTGGCCCAGGGTTGGAAGGAGGATCCTTCTGTCCTCCCGTGTGCATTAGGGGACAGCTCTGCCACCCTCCCAGACCCCTCAGGAGAGCTTCTGGATGGACTCGCTGCAGTAAGCAGAGGCTGGCTGGGATGGGCTGATGCCAAAGGAGAGCTGGAGTTGGGGGGCTGCCAGATCCCGGTGTGGATCAGAGGGACCTGGGAGCTTGTCCCTGGGGTTGCAGAAAAGAACTACAGGTCAGACTCACCTCGATAAGGAAGTCTCCCATTCGCAGTCCAGCCCGCCATGCCACACCCCCCTCGTCCACAGACTCCAGGTACTGCAGCGCCGGGAAGGCCGGGGTGGGGGTGAACTCCTCGATGGGGGTCTGCGCTGCAGACAGGGAGGAGCCGGCGGGGTCGGAGGGGAGGGGGTGGAGAGGCCAAGCAGGGGATGGGGCTCAGACCCAAGTCACAGAGGCCTCCCCTAGCTGAGGGACCAGCACCCCGGGGTGGGGTGGTGGCTGGGTTGGGGTCCTGGCCCTGCTTCCTGGGTCCAAGAGCCTCCTCACACCCCCACCCCGGCCGGCACTCACCCTTGGCCCCCCGGAGCACGAACCCAAACCCCTCGCTGTCTTTCTTCTGCAGCAAGACTGTCTTCTCCTTGATGATGTAATCACTGGCAGGAAGGCAGGAGGGAAGGGGTGAGAAGCCACCATGAGATCCAGCGCTGGTGCCCCAGCCCCTGCTGGACCCGGGGGCCATGACGCTCCAGCGCTCTTCCCAGGACGCCTCTCCCCACGTGGCATGCGTGTTCTCCCCCTCAGAGCCCGCAGTGCTCTCTCCCACTCACTCTTTCCTCATTCATCCAGCCAGCATCCAGCCACCCAACCATTCAGCAAATCAGGCCCCCGGAGGGTGAGGAGAGGCCTCCACATTACCACACAGCCCGGCCTGCGTTCTGAGAGCCACTTCCTTTCTGTGACCTTGAGCCCACTCGTTAACCTTCTGCGTCTCTCTCTGTTTCATCGCTATACTGACAGCTGTACCCTCTGCCTGACGGCCTGGGGGAGCTCGAAGGGGAAACGGCCATGTAGTGCCGCACACAGTGCTCAGTAGGACCTAGTTACTATCCTCGGATGAAGGTATTAAGTCGAGGGGACACATGTGGACAGGTATGGGGGTGCACACCTGTAATCCCAGTACTCTGGGCGTTTGAGCCCAACCTGGGCAGCTTAGGTGCTTAACAAGACCTGGTCCCAAGATAAAAATTTAAAAAAAAAGGGCTGAAGATGTAGCTGAGTGCAAAGACCTTGGGTTTAATCTCGAAGACCGAAAAACAAAGACAAATAACTTTTGATGACCCCCGCTCTTCTAAACTCCTGTTGCGTACACTGTGCGTCTTACCCTTGGAGGTCCCCAAGCATGTCAGTACACACTCGTTCTTGCACTATCCAATCTGGTAGCCACGTAATTGCATGGGATATTTTTAATCTTTTTTTTTTTTTTTTTTTAGGCCTGGTCTCATTATGCAGTCCAGACTGGCCTTGAACTCATAATGTAGCCCAGACTGTCCTCAAACTCAAGGCAGTCCTCCTGCCTCAGCCTCCTGAGTGCTGGGATTACAGGTGTGTGCCACCATACCCAGCTTGTATGTTGCTATTTTTTTTTT